AAGAATTTTAATGCTAATATTAATAACAATAAGGATTGTTCAAAACTTTATGATAATAGTTTAATATTTACCTACCTTGCATTCTTTAAAATTTGCAACCAAAACTTTATGATATTATTCTTCTCCTGTATTTCGCCTAGTCTTTTGTTTCCCTTCACACCAGACTCTTAACGTCATAAGAAAAAACTAAAGTATATGTCACAATGACATAAAACCTGAAAATTAACAAAAGCTAGTTCAAGTGAAGGAGATCAAATCCTTAACTTTTGATTGAATTTTTAAATTTGAGTATGAAAATATATTAGTTTTAATTAGTGTAATTGCTATGTATTATTGTTGGTATTTTTTACATGTTTATTAATTAAAAAATGTGATAGGTTCATAAGGATGATTTTTTATTTTAAATTTAACAATGTATCATTGTGCATTTTCATTAATTTTTGTTGATTTTATTAATTTATGTGTGTGTGGTGATATTATGGTTTTATTATTGAGAATTTAAGAATCCTTATGAGTTTTAGTTATTTAAGAGTTTTTTTAAGTATGCGTCAAGTTTGACTTGTAGAGGAATGTATATAAAGTTTTCTTTGAAATTTGAGTTTTTTAAGTTCATTTTTTTAAGAAAACATAGAGAGGTAGTCTGGAGAGAAGGGTTTTGGAGTTTGAGAGAATCTCTTCTTCCCTTAACTTTCTTTAGAGTAAGTGATCTTCCTCAAATATTTGTTATAAGAGTGGTGCTCGAATTCAAAGCTCAGAAGGCTGAGAATCAAAAAATGGTGGTTTCGTGTGGAGTTCCTAGAGCTTAGTTTCTCCTTCTTCTTCTTCTTCTTCTTCTTATGCACTTAGAGGTAAGGGGAGCTAGAACTCGAAGTCTTGTTGAATGTTGAAGTTGTATGATGATTGATTTCCTTAAATCAATAGTTGCGTTAATGGATTATATGATGATTTTCATATTAAGTGTTTTGATGGTTTCTTATGAATGTTGAAAGAAGATGAATGATCCTTGACATTATTGGATAACATAACAAATAGATTATGTTGCCCCATCTTATCATTGATTCAAATGTTTAAATTATTGTTATTATTATCTTTCTGTTTTCATTCAGTTGTACAAAACCTTTATATATAGGGTTGCTTCTCATTCAATAAAAGAATAATCAAAATTATTTATTCCAAACACTTATATGGTATCAGCAGCTTTTGCTTCACAGCAATCAAATCAATCCTCAATCATGTCTTCCTCCAACAACACCATTCCAATATCAGATTCCAACTAATATATGCACTAATTATTTAATAGAAAACTCACAAACTACACAAGTATGAAAATATTCACACTTGAACTTGCTTACTATAATTTTAAAGACAATATACTAACATCTCTAAGTAGTTCATAAATATTTAAAAGTAAATATTATTTATTTAAAATAATTGTTAAGATCGAAAATATTAATTTTAGAAGGTTTAAATATATTTTAGTTCCTATAAGATGGGTGATTTTGATTTTGTTCTTTGTAAGAATTAAAAATAAGAAATTTTCGATGGATTTATATTTTCGTCAAAAATTTTTGACGAAAATATAAATACGTCAGAAATTTCATACGAAATATTCCATAAAAAAAAATTTGTCAGAAATTTTTGACGGATTTTTTCGTCAAAAATTTCTGACGGATTTATATTTCCGTCAAAAATTTATATTTTTCTTGTAGTATAACTAGTTTTCACGGTTGGTGATAGAGGTTTTGTTGACCATAACAATTATGATGGATCGTTATAAATATTATTAATATCAATAACTATTAATTAATGAAAATTAAATGCAATAATTATTATCATTTTTATTTAGTTTTTAAATTTAGTAGTTATTAATTAATATATTTTATTAATTTGTTTGGTTCATTTCTCGATACATTTTATATATTCATATATGTTTTAATTTTAATTTTTAGTACGAGTTTTTTTTTACAATAACATTTATATATAGAAAATTCTTAGAGTAAAGAATATATTATAGATGTTGTTTGTTTTATATAATTTACATTTAATAAAATAAATAGTAATTATAACATATAGAAAATATTAATATTGTAGAATATAGAAGAACAAAACTATAAATTTAGAATCAATGGTAAATAGTAATTGAAAAGAAAAATAATTAGTAATCAATAATAATATTGAAACAAAAATTTAATAATGATTTGTGATCATATAAATTATAAAATTTTATAATAATAAATAATATATCTTTTGATTTTATTAATTATGTTGTTATATTGATATACTTTTTTTAATATATTAATCTATTTACATTATAATTAAGTAACTTCTTAATATAATTTTATTACTAATTTTATTATTTTTATTTAAATTTTAAATATAATATTATTTGTATCAATAACTATTAATTAATGAAACATAAATGTACTAGTTATTAGTAATTATTACTATCAATTTAATTGAATTTTAAATTTCGTAACTATTAATTAATATATTTATTAATTCGCTTGGTTCATTTGTTATTAGGATTTTTTATATTTTCAAATATTTGTTTAGTTTTAACAATTATTCAATATCAACTTATTTTATAATAATATTTATGTACAGAAAATTTTTGGAAGAAAAAATTATGTGTAGAAGTTGTTCCTTTTGTATTATTTATGTAACAATTTATTTTATAATAATATTAATATATAAAAATATTAAAGAGAAAATTATTGGAGGGATGTTTTGGACAGAAGATAATTATTGGAAAGAATTTTGGAGGAAAGAAGTTATTCGTTTTATATATACTATAGATTTATTTATTTATAATAAATTAATTTTTATTTAGTAAAATAAATTTATTTTTATATTTTTAATCCATTTTAAAAGATGATGCAATTATATAAATTTAATATCAAAACTATATTTGGTATAATATGTGCAAAATGTAATAGTTACTAATATTGATTTTATACTTTTTTTGGGTAAATTTATAATGATCATATATAGTCTCTACATTAAACTACCAACTACTAGCAATGAAAAACAATTAACTTAAAATTTCATATTTACCGTTACTAGAATATGTACTATATTGCATACATATAAAGATGAAATAACTACATGAATATGTACAATATATAATAATAATAATAATAATAATAATAATAATAATAATAATAATAATAATAATAATAATAATAATAATAATAATAATAATCATCATCATCATCATCATAATCATCATCATCATCATCATCATCTTATAAATGTAAATATATAACTAGGTTGTCGGATACAATTATCTATACAAATCTACCATCAATTAATAGATAGTCATCAAAAAGACATCCTGCTCCAACGCCATTGCATAGCCTTCACTACAACACTCTAAACCTGTCACTGCTCTACTCGTATGATCATCGAAATCCAAACTACATGGAAATATACAAGGTAAGCTAGAGCAAAAAACAACATATATACATCAAAGGAATATCAACATTTTAGCACATCATCACATCATCATCTTATTTCTGACACATGACAACACAAGATATCATAGTATAGACAATGCCTATCAACATAAAAACTCATTTTCAATAGATCAACACATCTTATCATAGATCAACACACCACATGAACAGTACAATCAACTCAACATATCATATGTTCAACACAATAGCTATATGCATTATCATGCATTTCAACTAGGAGATCTCCTACAACACATGATGAACAGTTTAAGTGGCTTGACTCTACGGAACTGATAATGTAGGATGATCTTTTTGAACTTGCTAGATCAACAACAAATTGGATATAAATCCAAAGCACAACAACTCAGTTTCTCAAATGTCACCACTTAAACAAGGAAGTCTAGTACTAAGGTTAGGGTAAAACAACTAGGTATAGGTCTACCACGACATTAGCTAGTTTAACCAACCCTTCTATGAGATTAGCCCACCGATTACCCCCAAATATTATGCTCTTTCGATACTCGGTTAGGAACTAAGTTCTCGACTTCATACTTTATTTGGTTGATTATTTATAATCAGTATAGCTTGACCTAATCCTTATACTGTGGTCCCTTCTTATACATGTGCCTCAACTTTGTCCACACACAGTATCAACAAAGTCTTAAAGGAGAGTCAAAACAACTATCTACACCAAGGGTCAACTTCTCAAAAGGGATTTTCAACAAATTGGGCTCTTTGAGCACCACTACATAATGGAATATGCAACTTTCGAAAACCTCTCCTAATCCTAAGTGGTCATCCCAATTCAACAAAGTATCAAATGATTTTTTAAATTTTTTAAAATTTTTACAGATTTAATTTGTACATTAAGAACTTTAAATTTAACGGTTGGATCATTGAGATTTGATATAAAACATGAATTATTGAATGGAGTAACTTTAGGTAGACTTACTCTTGAAGTAAACGGATCCCCCCTCCTCATATATATATATATATATATATATATATATACACGAATAAATTTTACTAACTACTTTCAATTAAATGTGTATTTTTTAAATTTATTTTAGATTAAAAAAAATTTAATCTTAAATTATATATACAAAATTTTATATTAATTTAAAATAATTTAATATCTTATTTTATTAAAAAAAATTAAAATAATATATACATTTTAAAATATACTAAAATATGAATATTTTGATTATTTTTAAATTATTATTTAATTTTAACAAAATTTAACATAAATAAACAATATAACATAAAATTATAATTTAACAATTAAATTAACAAAAATTATATTTAATTAAAAATTATCGAGTAATATAATAGTAGAAAAAAGTTATACCGAATTAATTTAAACTCACGGCATATATAATAAAAGTTTGATAGCATATTCTACCTTCATTCTGATGGGCACCATTTCCAACTAAATAACGTGGTCCTTTGAAAAGATGAGATTTCCACCCAAATAACGTGGCCTATATTAACAAAGGATGATACATGCCACTCAAATTTCCCTATATATATAAACAAACCCCGATGACTCCAGAAGTGATCAAAACACAGTTCTCATTATAGAACCCTCTTCTTTGCCTTTTCCCCTCTCTTCGATCTTCCTAACAAATATATTGTGTGGATCATATATATCTATTTGCATCCCACATAGCTAGAAAGGTTATCAAATAATAATGGATAAACTTTCAAAATGCCAAGCAAATTATACTCCTCTCACTCCTTTGACTTTCTTGACCAGGTGTGCCAAATGCTTTGCAAATTGCACCTCGGTTATCCATGAAGGAACCCGTTTCACATGGAAACAAACTTATCAACGTTGCTGCCGTCTGGCCTTCTCTTTACGCACTCTCAATATTGCTACGAACGATGTTGTAAGTTTAACAATTTCTATACACTTCAATTTATGATGTGTAAAAATCTTAGTATAAACCAAACAGAAGTTACCTTCCAATTAATTATGATCTATTCTGTTTAAAATTAGCTTTTGGTGTTTTCTAGTGAAAAAAAACAAAAAAAAACATTGTGATCGAAACTAAAATCCCTATAATTTCTTCCTGCGTGGCATGTTAAAAAACCTACTATATTATCATCATATATACATGCATAGCATATATGGTTCAAGATATTAGCTAGTACTTAAAAATTGGTAACTTAGTATGAGAATATGATACCCTAAAAAATTAGAGTTTTGATATATTGGTAATTGAGATCTCTCTCCTTTAATATGTCTAAACTGATTTAATTAATGCTACAAAAACTAATTGTACCAAAATCCTCATAGTGAGAAATTACTAACTTGTTAAAGACGTACAATTAATTTGTAGAAAACAGTTGATAAAAAACTCAGTTATAGATTATGATTTTTTTGTTAGTTTTGCACCATTTGCTAATAATTTTTCCATAAATTTCTGTATACATACCATATATATCGTTTGGTATATATGTTGAGTTGACAATTGGCTTTTGGTTTGCTCAGGTGGCAGTGTTGGCCCCAAACATTCCAGCAATGTACGAGATGCATTTTGCTGTGCCTATGGCAGGTGCAGTAATCAACACCATCAACACCCGTTTGGATGCCAATAGTATAGCCACCATTCTACAACACTCTGAAGCCAAAGTCTTGTTTGTGGACTACGAGTACATCCCCAAGGCAAAGGAAGCCCTAGCATTATTGCTCATGGGCCAAAAAACTCAACATATCACAACCTTAAAGCACCATTCATCTCCTCCACTACTCATTATCATTGATGACATAAACTCACCCACAGCACTTGGTGAGTCATTAGAATATGAGCAATTAGTCCGTAAAGGTGACCCAAACTTTGTTCCTGAGAAAATCCATGATGAGTGGGCCCCAATTGCTCTAAACTACACATCAGGAACAACCTCAGCACCCAAAGGAGTAGTCTATAGTCACAGAGGTGCCTATCTTAGCACTCTTAGCCTTATACTAGGTTGGGAAATGGGTAACCAACCCGTGTACCTTTGGACGCTGCCAATGTTCCATTGCAATGGATGGTGCTTCACATGGGGTGTCGCTGCACGTGGAGGAACCAACGTTTGTCTCCGAAAAGTTGCAGCCTATGACATGTACAAGAACTTGTCCTTGCACCACGTGACACACATGTGTTGTGCCCCTATTGTCTTCAACATCATTCTAGAGGCCAAGGCAAGTGAGAGAGTTGAAATGAAGTCACGAGTGGAAATACTCACAGGTGGAGCACCGCCGCCACCATCGTTGATCGTGAAAATCGAGTCTCTAGGGTTTCATGTTACGCATGCATATGGGTTGACAGAAGCAACAGGACCAGCGTTGGTGTGTGAGTGGCAAAATCAGTGGAACCAGCTCCCAAAAGATGAACAAGCTAGGTTGAAAGCTCGTCAAGGAATTAGCGTATTGACTCTAGAAGATGTAGATGTGAAGAAAGTGGACACAATGGAAAGTGTGCCAAGAGATGGGAAAACAATGGGAGAGGTTGTGTTGAGGGGAAGTAGCATAATGAAGGGGTATCTCAAAGACCCTGAGTCAACCTCAAAAGCCTTTAGTGAAGGGTGGTTTCACACTGGGGATGCTGGTGTTATACACAAAGATGGTTATTTGGAGATAAAGGATCGGTTCAAAGATGTGATTATTTCGGGAGGGGAAAACATAAGTAGTGTGGAGTTGGAGTCTGTGCTTTATAGGCACCCTAGGGTTTTGGAAGCTGCAGTGGTTGCAATGCCACACCCGAGATGGGGGGAGAGTCCATGTGCCTTTGTTGTGTTGAAGAACTTTGAAGGTAAAATGAACGATCATGTTACTGAGGATGACATTATTGGGTATTGTAGGAAGAACATGCCACCCTTTATGGTTCCTAAGGTGGTGAAGATTGTTGAGGAAATGCCAAAGACCGCAACTGGTAAGATTCAAAAGTCTAAATTGAGGGAGAAGGAGGCCAAGAATTTCACAATATCTCAGAATCTGCAGTCCAAGAATAATAAAACTAATGCTTTGGCTACATCTCGTCTTTGAAGGGATTTAAAGTTAGGCTAAATTTGAATTTTATTATTTTATATTTATTTTCTTGTTTTAGTTTGATCATCTGATTTATTTATTTTTTAATATTTTGGTTCTGTTTTAAATGTTTCATTTTGATCTTTTAATAAAAAATGTACTAGATCAATTTAACTTCCTTAAAAGTGTATTATTATACTAATTAAATTAGTCCCTATATAAAGTGGCCTTCCAGATGGGATAATTTATGTAACAAAAACACTTTTAAGAGACTAAATTAGAACCTTTTAAATTTAGAGATCTTAAATTTATAGGACCCCAAATCCTAATCGAAAATTAAAATGAGGGATTAAAATTCAAATTTAGCCTAAAAAAATCGATGATATTGGAGAAAGGATTTTTCTTTTTAGACTTTCAACCCTTCATAATTGTTATTCTTGTTTTATACCTTTCTTGTACATGAAAATAAAAATAGAAAAGATATAAAGATGTCTGTTTTTTTTTCCTTGTTTGTTATGTTATCTAAAATTAAGGAATCTTAAAAAGTAGCATATGGGACGAAGAAATTGAATAATTGCCTCGTTTTAAAAATATTATAAAAATTTATAACTATGTTTCAATCACAATCCCTTGAATTTTTCACGTGTGAAATAATTATTTAAATATTTATGATCGTTGTTCATGTTTGACCAGATGTGTTTTAAAAATATATTTCGAATAATCATCCTAATAATTGTAAACAAATTAAATAAAGGTTTATACATAACAAAATAATTATTTAGCAAAATATCGTCCAAGGAATATAATCTTTTGGTTTTCACTTTTTGTTAGATCATAATTATTGTATGAACGTACCAATGTTATGATTTAGAAAGAAAAAAAAAAAGTTATACTCTTAATATCTATTTTTAAAAATATATATATATGATCAACTAATAGAGTAACTATTCACCCCATCGCCAATTTGTCATAGTTAAAAAAATATATTTTTACTCTCACTCTATACGATGATATGTCTACCTTCAAATCTTAATATATATTTTTCTTTTATAATCATTTATTTTCTCTCAAAACCACTAAAAAAAATATGTGGAGGCACAAATGTATGTTTCTCTTACCAATATTAAATAATGTAAATATTTTTTCTTTAATTTATATACATATACTGCATTATAACTAATATTAAGGTTTTTAATATGACTTGGAGTCAATAAAACACCATATATACTGTATGGTATTAATTAGATTTTAAAGATTTAAGCTCGATAAAAAAAATATGGAAGTTATTGATGAGTTGTTTAGATATTATTTTAGTATATGCCACATGTGATTCTAGCTTATGTATGTCACATGTAATTTTGGATTATTTAAAACTTGAGGGAATTGATTATATAATTGTGTGTGTATTTATGTGTATGTGTCTGTATTTGTGTGTGTAAGAAAAAGAGAAATGAGATATTTGTGGGTTAAGAATGTGCTTTGACAAGACATTTAAGAAGTTTTTAAGCTCTTTTTTTGTAATGATTCACTATGATTTGACCTAAGGATAACATTATGTAGTTAATCGATACTCAACGGTTACTATATACATATATATATTTACAACTAAAAAGAAATAATATATATATATATATATATATATATATATATATGAATATATATATATATATAACTATACAGTAATCCAAATAACCAAAGCGTAGTCCTAGGCGTCGGTCAAACACATCCATACAATAACTACCTAAGAGTAGCCTCAAAAGACTTCACTCCATCATCTACCAAATGACCTCCACTTCACGCCACCTCAAACTTATCCTTATTCTGCCATCATACTAAGTATAATAGTTTCAGTTTAATCACATGAAAAACAAATATGGGTAAGTTAAAGATCAAGAATTTCATATGTAACAAAATATGAACAACGATTTTCATCATAACATCTCATGTTCAACTCCACAATCCAACTCAATCAACACCATTAACAATAGTAATATATTCAACACAATTTAATCAATACAGCATATGCACAACTATCAAGTAATGCATTGTCATGCATTTCAACTACAAAAATCTCTTATAACACATGTGAACAATTTAAGTGACTTGACTATACCAAACCAACTACTTGATCTTTTCACTTGGTTAAATCAACAACCAAAACAATATGGTTTCTTAAGTGTCGCCACGTAAAGTAAGAAGTTTAGTATTTCTATCAGGGTAGAACATTTTGAATATGAGTCTACCATAGCATTAGCTAGCTTATTAACTAAGCCTCTTATGATATTAGTCCATTGACTACCTTCCAAATATTATGCCCCTTCGATACTTAGTTTGGGACTAAGCTCCCGATTTTTGTGCTTTACTCAAATTGGTCACTTGTAATCAGAATAGTTCAACCTAACTCTTATATTGTGGTCGCTAATAGCTAGTGTGTCTTGACTTGACCCACATACTGCAACAATTAAGGTCCTAGAGGAGACTCAATTATCCTCTTAAAGGGTTAACTTCCCAAGAAGGAGTTTTAACAAACAGGACTCTCGGAGCACCATAACACAATATACTCACAATGAGATATATAATTTTAAAAAAATCTTTCCTCTAATCTTAAGTTGATCAACACTACTTTTAACACTATGCCTTAAGCATTATCAACGTCAACATTTTTAACAACATACTATATAATGCATGAAGCATATTCAACATAACTACTCAACTTATCAACTTTCAACTATTTATCATTCATAAACATCATTCTAGATCAATGTATATAACATGAACAACATTCATCAACTTAAAACATGTAATAGATTAATCTACTTTACTCATATTCACTATTTTAGATGTTAAACAAGTATTTATCCAATAATAAGTGCCTGATGCTGCATAACCAACGTTCGGTGCCATCGAGGTAGGGATCCTTTGCCTCGCCCACATTTGGTGCTACACAACCCATGCCTAACGTGAATTAGGTAGAGGCCCTTAGGACCTCACACTTAATGTGGTAAAATTTCACATCTGATTTCAGTTCAATCCAAGACAATTCTTTCTCTTCATGTTTGACATCATTCACATCACGTTTGGCATCATTTCAATCTAAGATTATTCTTTCTCCTCATGCCTGATGTCACTAATCCCACTACAAGAAAAATCAGCATTATCTACGGAAGAAATCCGTAGATAATGCTGAAATTCCGTAGGTAACTGTTTATTACCTACGGATTATCTACGGAAAAAATCCGTAGGTAATAAGCCTTGAAGGAACGTTTAACTCGATACACGAAGGGCTCTCGGTCCATGACCAAGTATCTTATGGAATTAAATCCTTGGCTGATGAATTAGCCATCATCAACTCTCCTTTGGATGATGTTGATCTTGTCATCCATACCATCAATGGTTTGGGTGATGAATATAAAGAGATTTTTGCTGCCATTCGCACAAGGGAAAATCCTATTGGATTTGAGGAACTACATGATCTTCTCTCTGATGCTGAAATAAGGGGTTGCATGTTGATAATTTGGTTGGATTCAAGTTGTTTATGGTGCTTATGAACGTTTTAGTACATTGCATGCTTGGATTCTTTTGAGTTTCAAGTAGTTTGGGCCACTTTGTCCAATGCAGCTTCAAGGTGTCGAACGCAACTTTAAGGTGTTAGACATGATTTAGGTTAAAGGTTCTCTACCTCATTAATGTCGAGTGTGAGATTGGTAGCGTTGGACATGAATTATAAGAGAACTTTTTGACTTGATCATGTCGATCATGGGTTGAATGGCATCGAATGTGGATGTCTTTGGAACTCTCTAACTTGGTGACATTAGACCATAGTTGAATGGTTCCAGGCATGATTAAGATATAGGCTATATGCCTAGACAACAATGGATGTCAACGACGTGATGTCGAGCATGAGACATGCAAAGACTCTCTAATTGAAATGAGGTAAGGCGTGGTTTTAGCCACACCAGACGTGATTGTCACAAGGACTCTCTGTCTCGTTCACATCAAGCGTGGATAGATTAGCATTGAGTGTGAGTGAGCTAAAGGCTTTCTACCTTGATAATGTAAGATGCGGGGAAAATGGCATCAAGTGTGGGTTGCCTAATTAATATGTGTTGAATTGTTGACTAAGTGTTGAAGATGTATGTGTTGTTGAACCTTTACATGTTGTAAACGTTGGATGTTGTTATATGATACTATCTCTTTATACATTGATCTGGAATAATGTATATTGATGATTTAACTGTTAAAAAATAGTTAGTTGGGTTGTATGTTGAAATGTTGAGGCAATTATGCTGAGAATGCTTAAGGCATTAAATTGTGTTGTGTTGATTGACTAAAGAGTTTATTTTACCTTCTAATCCCTGTGGATACGATAATTTTACTACTTGACCGGCCGGTACACTTGTCGTGTTTGAGACCGTTGATAGAATTAAACTGCTCACCTCTGCAAGTCATAGTTGTGCCGGGCGCGAGACTACCCTCGCCGAGCGTGATCGAGACAGAGAGTACCTCAAACTTTCTGGAAGGCATTGCGTCGGGCGTAAAAGGAATTGCGCCGGGCGTATTTTGAGGCAGAGAGTACTTTACCTTCCTGGAAGGCCCTGCGCCGGGCGCAAAGACTTATGCTTCGGGCGTGTAATCCTAATCTGACTCCCCAAGCTCGTATTTGAAGAAACTTTTGAGGGTTTTCTCCTTATTCACACATTGGACGCGTTTTAGGAGCTGAGGAAGGGATTCCTAGAGCTTGGGGCCGTTCGTGTGTGGGTCTTTCCTTCGGTTCTTCATTCTCTCTTCATCTCTATTTTTTGTTTACCTTCATTGTTTTGAGTGGTTTTGCGCCAGGATCAATTGATTCTTCATGCAATCATCTCCTCAGTTGATCAGAATGTGATCACATTGATTGGAAACGTCAAGACATCCAAACAGGCATGGGATATCCTTAACAAGAGATATGCCAGCAAGACCTGTGCTCGAATCATGCACTTGAAGGAACGTTTAACTCGATACACGAAGGGCTCTCGGTCCATGACCAAGTATCTTATGGAATTAAATCCTTGGCTGATGAATTAGCCATCATCAACTCTCCTTTGGATGATGTTGATCTTGTCATCCATACCATCAATGGTTTGGGTGATGAATATAAAGAGATTTTTGCTGCCATTCGCACAAGGGAAAATCCTATTGGATTTGAGGAACTACATGATCTTCTCTCTGATGCTGAAATAAGGGGTTGCATGTTGATAATTTGGTTGGATTCAAGTTGTTTATGGTGCTTATGAACGTTTTAGTACATTGCATGCTTGGATTCTTTTGAGTTTCAAGTAGTTTGGGCCACTTTGTCCAATGCAGCTTCAAGGTGTCGAACGCAACTTTAAGGTGTTAGACATGATTTAGGTTAAAGGTTCTCTACCTCATTAATGTCGAGTGTGAGATTGGTAGCGTTGGACATGAATTATAAGAGAACTTTTTGACTTGATCATGTCGATCATGGGTTGAATGGCATCGAATGTGGATGTCTTTGGAACTCTCTAACTTGGTGACATTAGACCATAGTTGAAACCTACGGAAAAAATTCCGTAGGTAACTAAAAATTACCTATAAAAAAAATTTCGTAGGTAATATTCCGTAAATAACTAATTCCGTAGGTAATATTCCGTAGATAACCAAACATTACCTACGGAAAAAATTCCGTAGGTAACTAAAAATTACCTATAAAAAAAATTTCGTAGGTAATATTTAGTTATCTACGGTATATTACCTACGGAATTTTTTCCGTAGGTAATGTTTGGTTATCTACGGAATATTACCTACGAAACATTCCGTAAGTAATATTCCGTAGATAATAACAGTTTTTCTTGTAGTGTCCTATGCTCGACATGAAAAAGATAGAAACCCTCACTTTGAAGTGTGTTCGGTGTCTTAAAGGTGCACCTAACACGACGAGATTTTTGCACTTATGCAGACCACGAATTTGGCTCTCAATAACACCTGAAACTTAGCAATTCCACAACATGCAACACTAGATGGTGCACATATATACTTCACACAACTCAAAAATCAACATGCAACCAAAGATCACCACAAGTCATTAAATTCACCTTCATGAACTCAAAACCCCAGCTACAACAATTATGAATCATGCAATTTCATCATATTATTGCAACTATTTAGCATTCCAATCATAAAATAAATCCACCAACAACCCAACAATTTGACAAAACCAAGAATAGCTTCCCTTACCTTGAAATAGATGTGAACCAAGGAAGAGAAAGAGAACCCTGAGAAACAACCGAAACAACTTTGCATCGACTCAACACTTTTGATTCATGGCTCTACAAACCTGAATCCACAACAACATAAGAAGAATGAGGCTTCAAGGAAGACTCACCCTCATAAGAAAGGGTTTGGAGATGAGGAGAACTTACGATCTTTAGATATTAGCTCTCTAGTTCATCTCTCTAGGTTTCTGAAGAACTAAACTTATAAAATTCTATTCTAAACAAAAATTAATCTTATATATTATCTCCCCTCAAGGTCAAACTAAATCTTCACCCAAAGAAATCTTCAACTACCTAAGAGCTCATAAGGAATTCCTGAATTCCAAAATTCTCCAACACAAAACCATAATTAACAACAACATATAATTAAAGAAATCAACAACAATATTCTAGGACTCACCATGTTACACTTTTAATTTGATCAACTTATAAATTAGTTTAATTAAAATCAATTTGTTTGGTATGAGAGCTTATTTTAATAATTTATAATTTATTTTTATAAGCTAATTAAAGTAAGTTATAGCATATAAAGTTATAGTTTTTCCCCTTTTTCTTATTAATTTACTCGAAATTCTTTTTTTTTTAATCTTTTTGTGTTAAAATCACTTTGTATACATATTATTTTTTTACTCTCTTTATCAAATAAACAAATATGTTATTTTACATTAGTAAGCTAACATATCAATTAATTTTATATGATATTTAAATTCAATCTATTAATTTATGAGTTTCTAATTTTTCAATTTCATTTTATATTTTTAAGTTAGTTTATAAGTTTTTGGCTTATAAGTTATTTTTATTTATTTTGTTCGTAAAAACAAGTTTAGTAAATTACTTAAAATTAAGGGGATATATATAAATTTACTTAAAAAATAAAATGAATTATTTAATTGAATAACATTTATATGCATGCTCAATTGTGGTCGTAGACCTATCGAGGTCAAGTTAGTGTATTCTACAATTTTCTTAACACCTAATTAATGATATTATTTAATGATTGTTTTATAATAGATGTTCATACATGTTTCTTAATTTATTTATTTATATATAATATCAAGAGTTAATAAACTAAGCGAGATATTAAACTAAAAAATTAGGAACTTGTATTTAACTCAATTCGGCTCATTTTGTACATGACTAAAATTTGTGGAGCTATATATAATAATAATAAAAAATCAGGTCTAGAACCATTCGCAAACTCCAACTTTAATTAGTTGTTAGTACTATTAGAATCTTTTACTTTTGTATACATTATTTGTCTCATATAACAAATTCTAAATAAAATATTTTTATTTGTATTGACATTTGACGACAGTCAATCAAAATATAAAAAAAAACATTATAATTTTTAAATGTTTATGAAGTCAAAAGTCTATTAATTGTGAATTAATTTGTTTTTACTAATACTCAAAATTTTAAGATTAATATTAAATATAAAGATATATATTCAAATAATAATTCACTTGTGTCTTTCATCCATCAAATTTTAAAATGTACCTTAAAATTATCGTTAGATTTATAAATAAAAAAAAATAGTGATTTTAAAATATAAAAATTAAAGAAAAAATATTTTATAAGTTCAAAATCAAAATTTATTCATTTTACAAGAATGGAAATTTTTTACAATAATTAAGAAAATGTTTATAAATTTTAGAAGGATAAAAAAATTATAGGGATCAACATCAAATTTCCTTAATTTTACAAGACTAAAAATATATTTAAATCTTTAATATATAAATTTATATTAATTTGAATTATTTTTTATATTTGTCAATAATAATTTTTTTTTATGACACAAAATTATATTTAATTATTTATAATTTTTTCTAAATAATTTATAAATATATGATAAAAATAAATTAAACTAAATAAGAAGTTAACAATATTTCTAAAAAAAATAAATAAAACTCTAAAAAAAACCCTTAGGTGTCAAGTTAATTCATAAATTAAATGAATCAAATTATACATAATTCAAAATTAACTCACTTATTTATCGAGCTCAATTTGTAGCTCAAGTTCAATTTTTGTGTTGTATGTGAGTGAGATTATCAATTGTTGCATGAATTAAAGGATTGCAAATTTGAAGGTTGTGTTGGTGGGGTTTTGATAGTTATTGAGATGGATGAGATAATTTAGATGATTTTGACAGATTCCGTAGTTACATGTTGTGGTTTTGGGGCAAAATGAGTTGTTAGGAAAGTATATGTAGGAATGATTGTGTTGCATGCATGAATTGATGAATGGGCTAGGTGGATTTTTGGATGATTGAAGTGTTTTTTTGGGTTGATGTTCTTGAGCTTTGAATCTACATATTTTTTGGGTTTGGTCTCTTAAAGCGCCCATATGGGTCGCTCCGAGCGAGCTTGAGTGATTTCTCAGAGATGCTCTTTGACTTGGATCACTTAGAGTGATTTTTGGGTGCTTTGAGAAAATTTTGGTTGCTTAAAGCGAGTTAGAGATCGCTCCAAGCGAGCCTAGGTGGTTTCTTATAGATGTTCTTTGACTTTGGTCACTCAAAATGAGTTTCCGGGCACCTTAAGCAAATTTTGGTCGCTAAAAGTGAGTTAGGGGTCGCCCTAAGCAAGCTTGGGTGGTTTCTTAGAGATGTTCTCTAACTTGGGTCGCTACGAATGAGTTTTCAGGTGCTTTGAGCAAATTTTGGTCGCTTAGAGCAAACTATTGGTCGCTTCGAGTGAGCTCACCTTGCTTTAGAGAAATATTGACTTGTTTAAGCAAGTAGATGACCGAATTTTATTTTGTGATATTCATGAAAGTTGTAACCCTAGATGTTATCTTTCCAATAACTTTAGAATCACCTAAAAAGGAGGTCTGGAACTTTAGTTATGACCTTTTTAGTGAGTAAAGGTCAAACTATTAACATTTAGGCAAACTATTGCAGTTTTGTTGATTTTCAATATAGTAGATGATGAAGTTAGAACTTGAAGTATTCATAAGAGTTGTAGGGAACCTTTTTATCTTTCATATGACATAAAGATGAGTTTGATTGGAATAGTAAAACTCCCTATGTATTGCTTTATGTGAAGGTTGTCATTGTTTGGTAGTTGATTCAAATAAGTTGTATGTTGATACATGTTGTATGATGAACATAAATAGGTGTTTTGAGTTCTATCATATGTTGTATGGTGTTTGATGATAGTTCTACATATATTGATTGGATATGATATATGTAGATGGTTGTATGGTGTTGCATGATGATGAGTATATGTATGTTATACATATGCATAATGTATGATTTTGGAGAGCATTGATATGCTCTAAATGGATGATGTTGTCATTGATCTCTATATGTATTGTCACAACCCGAATATCTCGCGACTAAATGGTTTGGACTTCCGTTTGAAAAATCTTATTAATTAAGGAATGTCCGGATACTAGACTAATCCTTGATTAATGATTTTGAAAATAGGTTCTTGGAGTCGCCACCAATGTTTTACTCAAAACATTGGAAAAAGAAAAGATTTTTGAAAATTCCAATAAAGGCCTTCATAGCCAGAATTGAATTGGGTTTAGGGTCGGTTACGTGCAGGAAAGGTATTAAGCACCCCTACAACGCTCTAAATCGGTATCCTATGATGAAGATAGCGTGATAAGAATTAATAGTCTAAATATTTGATCCCCTTTATTAATGGTTATTTACATGAAATTTAAATTACACGATTAACCCTAAGATGTCTACAAGGTTGCTTTTATTATAACAACATTCGAAATAAAAGAATTGAAAGATGGAGCAAGAGATTGATGCAATACCTCGTAGCAAGTTTTATTAGATCTTTAATTATGGAGATTTTAGGTGCTTTATGGCAACCTTTCACACTACACAAATACCTCATAGATCTAAAAAAATTCAAAAAGAGAGAGAGAATGAGAGATTTCGAGCTATTTGGGATTCTAGACGAATTTTTCTGGCCCCAAGAATAGTGCCTGAGTCTACTATTTATAAACATCAGAAGTGGCCAGAACGGTCCGTCCAGATTTAGAACGGCCCGTTCTAGATCCATTCGTCATGTGTTAATTTTGCATCTAGAACGACTCGTTCTTAAACTAGAACCTCCCGTTCTAGAGTTAAGTTTTAACTCATAACTGCCATGTTGGAATGGCCTATTCCAAACTAGGGTTTTAGGCATTTTTGGTGGTTTGAAACAGCCTAATCCAATTTAAGAATGACCCGTTCCAAGTTGGGAACAGACCGTTCCAGCTTGAGAACAGCCCGTTCCAGTTTGGGAACGGGCCGTTCCTTTTTGGGAATAGCCCGTTCTGGGCTACTAAATCAGACTTTACAGGGCTTTTAAGTCTCTTAATTTTTTGTCTTGTCATTTCCATGCTTGGGAGATCCTTTTCTTCACAAATAGAAGTCTATCTCTTAGTTTATAAGTATGAACGTAATTAGGTGTCTACATCTATCGACTGGATGTGATGCATATAGATGATGTATGGTGAGATGTGGATGTTGAGAATCCGGTATGACATTAATTAAATTATGTTGGCTAATTTTGACTTGACGAAAGGAAATTATTTTAAAAACTGAAGATCTCACGCACAAGGTATCTTGGAGTGGTGCTCGGTTAGAGCATTATTAGAAAACCCTCCTTGAGTATGTGTGTCTCTTGGAGTGAGTTTTTGAGTTGTATTAAGTCTCCTCTAGGTCTTAGTTAGTGGTTGAGTAAGGTAGGAGGTCAAGGGCTACAACCCTTAACCAAGTACCTGAAATGGTTGGGTGGTTCCTTGAAGATAGCCAATGGGCTAATTCCACATGTGACTTGGTAATGCTTGACAAGGTCATGGTATGCTTATACCTAGACATACCACTCCTAATAGTGGAACCAAACTTTCCTAGTATAAGTGATGAGACATGAGAAATCAGAGGAGGGATATCCCATTTTGTTGTGATTGAGTCGACGTTTGGGCATGAAAACAATTGGGTTGGATCGATAGAGTGAAAATTACTTACACTACTCGTGTTGTTAGGAGATCTCTGTAGGTGAATATGTAATGATGCATTGGTTGATGTGTTTTCATATAATAGGTGTCGACGTGTGTGTTCATATGCATTGTTGATGTCTTGTGTGACATGATTTGGGTGAGGTACATGTTTGCTTTAAGTATTGTAGCTTTCATGTATGGTTGTGGTATGATGTATATTATAGAATTATTTTCTATGCTTACATATTTTTGAACTCTAGCTTACCTTTCTGTTTTCATTGTGGTTTGGGTTGGGAT